ATTCAGCTGAAATATGTTTGTGTGTGTGGAAACAGCTTTTCTAAATGCATTTCAAATTTGTAATGCTATAATGTACCTTTTTTAACTTTTTCTAGCCACAATTGATGGATGGCTGCCAATGGTCTGCTTGGTGAAGAAGTGGAGGAGGAGGATTGCAACCCTGCAATTTGTTCCATGGGGGGAGCATCCAGTGCGACGCCTGCAAATTGTGGAAGGTAAGCACAAGCTCTGGAAGATTGTACCTCCTTCATGACCATGGCAAATTTGGAAACTCACCACTGTGCTACTTTAACTGCCAATTGCTTGTTCATGAAACACTGTACACAAATAGTTTTTATTTATATTTGTTAATCCAAAAGACAGCTTTCTTTTGGTGGTCTTTGATCAACAATGTGTGTTTAATTTAGTATTAGATAAGCGTTGAATATAAACCCTCTATGCTAACACATTATCAGGGACTAAAAATATCCCCTAAAAAATTCCATTACTAATCTCTATTCATACATTTCTTCAAAATTGTATTTTGCAAAGTCTTTGTTGCAAAACTAAAAGGCCAATAAGTGTACAATTAGTCTGTGCGAAAGTTGGCCAGTTTAAAAACTATGGTATTTGTTGAGCAAATTTTACAAACCCTGATGTACTGACGACCAATCTCATTTCAAACCCCCCAAAACGACCCCTTTTTGGAAAGTACGCAAAGTTGATTATTTAGAGGCATGGGAAATGTATTGACTTAGGATTGTTTTGTGTCAATTTTGGGGCTAATGAAGAAATAACATTAAGTTATTGGGTTTTTTTATTCATTTGTTTCCTTTTAAACAACAACACAGTACAATGTCCTCATATGACTGGTGTGCCAGTGATCAGGGATACTAACTGGTGACAGAAGTTAAATTACCCTTTTTTTCTTTTTTAGGAAATATGTCCTTTTTGGGAGCGAAAAGAATGTTGTTTGAGGAAGATTTGCATTGGGTTTTAAAATACATTCCTCAGAATAGTTTAGTATCAACAAAGTAATACTCTACTCCTCTTGGAAAGGGGGAGGGGGACAGGGAATATTGTTTCAATTGTTCCTAAAATGTGATTGATAGTACAATAAGGATCATTGTAACAGCAATGTTTAGAACATGTTTGGGCTACATTCATGACAGTTGTGCTTATTAGTAACGTGGTATTGACTCTAGCTAAATCGATAGTACAGGATGCTTGGGTTGGGACAGGTACCGTGTTCAAGCTGTGGCCCAATTACAGCTTACTGGTGATGGAAGCAAAGCTGTTCGGAATTACATTCCTTCCTAACAGCTTTGTGGACATTGTGATCTTGTGATTGCAAAGTGAACATATGATTCCCAGGTTGCTCAAAGTGGCTTGATACCGTGAACTGCCAGCTACTGTAGTTTGGTGGACACAGTGGGGGTGCATCCTAGCAGACTCAAAGTGCATTCCCAAGTCCACACATGCACAAGGAATTTTTTATGCAGTTGTACCTGTATGTACCACCTGCCCACACGGAATGTACAAAGGGCAGTTGGCAATGTGTTAATAGCTTGGGCACACAAATTTATTTACAGAGTAAAATTCTATAACATTTATTTGGTGTTGTTCTTTCTGTAGAAAACAGTGATGAGGATGAGCAGCTGGAGGCTGCCTCACCTCTGGCCCAGTGTAAGTACCTTCAGTGTGATGGCCTGTTCTCTGCATCCTTTTTTGAACTTTGAGCTGTTAAATGTGCTTTGTGTGTTGTCTTGTGTTGTTTGTGTAGCATCAGATGTTTGGTCCCTGAGGGAGGAGGAGGAGCAGTAGCAGCAGAGGGAGGAGGCTGCCTCACCTGTGGCCCACTGTAAGTATCTTCAATTTGATTCCCACGTGTTATGTCTGTACATTAGTGTCTTGAGGGGGTGTAGGGGTGCAGGAAGGGGGGAAAGAAGAGTGGGATGGTCAATTTGAAATGTGGAGGTAAACGGGTCTGGGTAGTAGGGATGTGTTGAAGGGCGAGAGTGGAATCTGAGGAAGAGGCAGGAGTGGGATCCATGTGTGGGGAGGAAGTGGGTAAGGAGTAATACTGGTCCTGGGGATAGACTGGGGGCTAGGTAGAGTTGGGAGTGGATACATCTGGATATGGCACCTTCCCAGCTGTGTCCCCAGAACTTTGGCCAGTTGAACTCGTTGCAACGTTGACGTTTGCCCCAAACAACTACTGCCCGTGGGTAGTTCGGATCTGGCCAATATTGCGTTTCACTGTTCCATCACTTGACATGGGGCCTGGATTTGATCACCAGTGTACTGCAGGGCTGCAGTCACGTTTGTGGCCATGGGTTGCATCTCTTGATGCATATCAAGCTGGCGCTGCTGCATTAGCAGCATTGTTTGCTGTTGAAGCTCCAGTAACCTTTCTCATGTACTTGGTTCATTAGAAAGCCTCCTTTGTTCACTTAATATATCCAGCTGGGTAACTAGCCTTTCACCAAGATCTAAAAGTCAATTGGGTCTGGGTGGTTGGGGTGCAGATCCAGCTGCATCCAATGGTGGCTGAGAAAACAAAATGACAAGATTGTTTATTACACAGCACAGGCATACAGTGGGGCAGATGGCTGGTCTTACAACAAACACTCGCTCATGTTCATGTTGTCTGTCTAGATCACTTAGTAGAGAAAGCCTTTACAATTATTATTTATTAGTGTTAAAAAAAAGTTACAAGGGCTGGACAGTTTGGACCTCAAACTGTTATATCATTGCCCCAACCTGCTACCTTCATTATTTGGAGTTGGATAAAGTGGAATGCTAAGACACCTACTTGGCACATGCACATAACTACCCCAAGCTCATGACTAAACAATGCTGAACAAAAAACAGTATAGGTACATATCAAGTTGGACTTTAAAATCATGTACAGGCAAGAATGGAGTTTGACAAAAGATGGGTGAAGAATCAATAAAGAGAATTAATGTTTCATTTCTTACCAGACATTCAGGTGACTCAGCTGCAGCTGCTGGTGGTCTGGATGGGTAAGCTGGTAGAGTTCCTGAATGTCCCTGCAACAAAATTAATAATGAATGTATGCCATTGCCAAAATTCATTTTCAACATTTATCACTTTTTACATGCCCACCCAGTGAACTCAGTTCACATACCCCAACATTGGATGCAGATTTCTCTCCAGCTCCAGCTGTTGACTCAAAGGGGAACAGATGTTCTGGAAATATAGTTCAAGAAATTGATTAGTCAGAAACATCAGGCTGTATGGATGAGCTGACAGATTTAAACCAGGTCTAATAGCTCAGGCATTGGGACATAATAACATTCCAGTCTTGTTGCCTCCTGTTTGATCTGACAAATAGGACACTTGCAGCCACACCAAAAAAGGAGTTGTGAGGAGAAAGGCATGGTGTTGGTCAGGAGCAGGGGTTGAATTAATTAGTAGACCCCTTTCCTGGCCATCATGGAAGCAGATATGTTAATATGTCTACATTATGCTCATTAGATATTGAAGCATTTAGGAGCATGGACTTGCCATATCAAAACATAATTTAACATTCTATATCACATTTTTAGGCCAATACTATGAAAAGCAAGCTGTCAGGAATGGGCTCACCTGCCGTGTGGGCTGCAGTACTGGTGCTTGCCAGCGGGTGTGTCAGGAATGGGCTCACCTGCCGCGTGGGCTGCAGTACCGGTGCTTGCCAGCGGGTGCTTTCAGCAGCCAGGATCTCACTCCTGCAATCAAATCATCACCTGAGGCTGATTGCAGGAGGTGTATTTAAGCAGTACCAGGCCTGCAATCAGTGCCTTGGTGTTTTCCCATGTGCCCTGTTGTCTGGATCCTGTTTCCTGTATTCTGTCTTCTGCCTGCTTGACCCTCCTGCTTGACTCTGACTCTGCTTGAACTCCGGCTGCACCGACCCAGACTATTCCTGACCATTCTCCTGCCTGCTCCTGTTGTACCTTATCTGCCCGATTGTTCCTGACCCGGCCTGCCTGACCACTCCACCTCTCCAGCCCTGACTGCACTTATACGTAGTAATATTAGTTTAAGGTTTGGTCTTGTTTGCACTGCGTTTGTTTATTTTGTGCAGCTCTTAATAAATGTTATTATTATTTCACCATTTCTGAAGCCTGCTGTTCCCTGTGTCAGTCCATACATCTCTGGTCATACCTGGATCCCTGACATAACACCAAGGCCAGTCCTGACCAGGAGTGGCTTGCACAGGGAAGCCATCTTGGCTTATTATTTGTGAAAGATGCTTCCTAAGGAGGTTGAGTACTTGTCTCTGCTAGTCTTAGAAGACAGAGAATACGGCTATCAGATTCTGAAGGAGTATGCCAGGGATCAGTTGCTAGAGTGCATGCGGGTTGCCCATTCCCTAGTAGATCAGGGCAGGTTTTTTTCTGAGGTGCAGCCATTGATCCAGGCTTGTGCTGAATTGGCTTTGTCCAGTAGCCCTGAAAGCTTTTCGCCGCCATTTAGTATGGATCAAGTAGAGTCATTGGTATGGTTGTTGGAGGATGATCCGGATTGTTTCTTGGAGCATTATTCAGCATGTTCACAACATATGCTAGTGGATTGTATAAACGCAGTGCAGTCTTTGGTCAGACAGGCTATGTGTAAGCTGAGCTTTGTTCAACCAGTACTACAGACATAGTCAGATTTGTTACACCCAGCCTCAGTCAGCCTGCAACAACCCAGTCCTGCTTCTAATCATTCATCTTCTCAAAGCTCTCTTCCTCCATTTCCCACAACACCCCCCAGTTACAGCCCAGTACACCCTGCTATCAACCACATGTCAGTACCCTGTTTCCACTCGCTGCACCTACCCTGCCTTTAACTCTGTAAAGAAGTCCTCTGTATAAACTGCTCCCTTCTCTGTATCATCCTCCAGCTCTTCTCTGTCTTTAGCTGCTCCCTCCGTTTACAGCCCTGCATTTACTTGCAGTGCTTCAGTAACTAAACCCAAGAAGAAACAAAAATTCTTTCTAACCAGTACTATACTGCCAGTATCCAAACCGGTCAGCCTGCTGTCTGAGAACCCACCTTCTGTTATCCCACCTGATGACCTGACGCCTGCTCTCCAGCCTGATGCCTCGATGCCCGCTGTCCAGCCCAATGCCTTGATGCCCGCTGTCCTGCCAGATGACCCGGTGCCCACTGTCCTGCCAGATGACCCGGTGCCCGCTGTCGAGCTTGATGCCTCGGTGCCCGCTGTTCAGCCTTATGGCCTGATGACCCAGTGTCCGCTACCCAGCCTGATGATCCTATCCGGCCTGATGATCCTACCCGGCCTGATGACCCTATCCATCCTGATGATCTGGTGCCCGCTACCCAGCCTGATGATGCTATCCAGCCTGATGCCCCGGTGTCCGTTATCCAGCCTGATGCCCCGGTGTCCATTATCCAGCCTGAGGAACTGATAACTACCACTCGGCCTGATGACCCGGTGCCTGCTGCCCAGCCCGATGACCCGGTGCCTGCTGCCCAGCCCGATGACCCGGTGCCTGCTGCACAGCCCAATGTGCCTCTGCTCGCTGCCCAGCCTGATGTGCCAGCCCCTGATTCCCAGCCTGCTTCTGGAAATCCTGTGTCCAGCAACCTGCCTTCCTGCGGTCTCCTACAAAAAGAAAAAGGTCTACCAGCAGGAAACCCAACCAGTCGCTTGACTCCGGCAGTGGGATATCCAGCCAGTTACTTGACCCGGGCGGTGGAACATTTTTGCCATTAAGGACTGTTTGGAGCATCCTGAGGCCGCTCCTTGAGGGGGGGTACTGTCAGGAATGGGCTCACCTTCTGTGTGGGCTGCAGTATCGGTGCTTGCCAGCGGGTGTGTCAGAAATGGGCTCACCTGCCGTGTGGGCTGCAGTACCGGTGCTTGCCAGCGGGTGCTTTCAGCAGCCAGGATCTCACTCCTGCAATCAAGCCATCACCTGAGGCTGATTGCAGGAGGTGTATTTAAGCAGTACCAGGCCTGCAATTAGTGCCTTGGTGTTTTCTCATGTGCCCTGTTGTCTGGATCCTGTTTCCTGTATCCTGCCTTCTGCCTGCTTGACCCTCCTGCTTGACTCTGACTCTGCTTGAACTCCGCCTGCACTGACCCCGGCTATTCCTGACCATTCTCCTGCCTGCTCCTGTTGTACCTTATCTGCACAATTGTTCCTGACCTGGTCTGCCTGACCACTTCACCTCTCCAGCCCTGACTACATTTATACGTAGTAATATTGGTTTAAGGTTTGGTCTTGTTTGCACTGCGTTTGTTTATTTTGTGCAGCTCTTAATAAATGTTATTATTATTTCACCATTTCTGAAGCCTGCTGTTCCCTGTGTCAGTCCACACATCTCTGGTCATACCTGGATCCCTGACAGAAGCACATTGCTTAATCATGAGTCAAAGATTGGTCAATAACAGCACATTAGCAATACATACCAAGAGCTTCCTCCAGACCTTGCTGCAGTCCCTCTGTTCCTCTTCCTGCTGATGTGCTATGAATATGAAATTGCCATGTGACATGATTGTTGGTGATGCTATATCAGCATGTTCCACGTTGCTTGGAAAAAAAAAACATTTAGTGCTTACCAGGAGGGGACATACAGTTGTGTTCAAAATAATAGCAGTGTGTTGAAAAAAGTGAATAAAGCTTAAAATCCTTCTAATAGCTTTTATTTCCATACACACACATGCATTGGGAACACTACACATTCTATTCCAAATCAAAACATGAGGAAAAAAATATCAAATTTGTGTTGTTCCTCTAAAAAAAATTGAAGAGAAGTGAATATTAGACTGTTAAAAAAATAGCAGTGTTTGTATTCTTCTTTACAAACTCAAACATTCACTATATAAACTGAAAAATGTTTGAAGATTTTGCTTTCCTTTGAATCACTTAATTAATATTTAGTCGTATAAGCACTGTTTCTGAGAACTGCTGTACATCTGTGTTGCATGGAGTCAACCAACTTCTGGCACCTGTGAACGAACAGGTATTCTAGCCCAGGATGATTGGACTACATTCCACAGTTCTTCTCTTTTTCTTGGTTTTGCCTCAGAAACTGTCACCCCACAAGTTTTCTATTGGATTAAGATCCAGGGATTGGGTTGGCCACTCCATAACGTCAATCTTGTTGGTCTGGAACCAAGATGTTGCTCGTTTACTGGTGTGTTTGGGGTCGTTGTCTTGTTGGAACACCCATTTCAAGGGCATTTCCTCTTCAGCATAAGGTAACATGACCTCTTCAAGTATTCTGATGTATTCAAACTGATCCATGATCCCTGGTATGCGATAAATAGGCCCAACACCGTCGTATGAGAAACATCCCCATATCATGATGCTTGCGCAACCATGCTTCACTGTCTTCACAGTGTACTGTGGCTTGAATTCAGTGTTTGGGGGGTCGTTGAACAAACTGTCTCCGGCCACTAGACCCAAGAAGAACAATCTTACTTTCATCAGTCCACAAAATGTTGCGCCATTTCTCTTTAGGCCAGTCAATGTGCTCTTTGGCAAATTGTAACCTCTTCAGCACATGTCTTTTTTTCAACAGTGGGACTTTGCGGGGGCTTCTTGCAGACAGCTTGGCTTCACATAGGCGTCTTCTAATTGTAACAGTACTCGCAGGTAATTTTAGACCTTCTTTGATCTTACTGGAGCTGATTGTTGGCTGGGTCCTTGCCATTTTTGCTATTCTTCTATCCATTCGAATGGTAGTTTTTCGCTTTCTTCCACGTCTTTCAGGTTTTGGTTGCCATTTTAAAGCATTTGCGATCATTTTAGCTGAGCAACCTATCATTTTCTGCACTTCTTTATATGTTTTCCCCTCTCCAATCAACTTTTTAATCAAGGTATGCTGTTCTTCTGAACAATGTCTGGAACAACCCATTTTCCTCAGAATTTCAGAGAGAAATGCACTGTAACCAGCATGTACAACATTTGCTGCCTTCCTTCCTTAAATAAGGGCAATAATTGTCACCTGTTTTTCAAAGAATGAATGACTTCACTAATATAACTCCACACTGCTATTGTTTTGAACATATCACATCAGATAATTCCTGACCAGGGCCGGGAAAAGGATGGAAGCCAGGTCTTCTGCATTCTGCTTCCCCCTGCTGTACCCTCTCTGGAGCTGGAAGGGGAGGCAGAGTGTGCAGGAGGTGGAGAAACACAAACCCCAGCTTCTGTCTGTTCTCTGGAGGAAGCATGCCCCCTTCCGCCAACATCTGGAGACCCCCTCACACCCCAGCCAGACAACCTGCCCACCATGCCCCCCCTGGCCCCAGTGCCCCCCCCCCCTCGGAACTGCAAGCAGTACTACTCGCTCAATATCCAAGCTGTGTGTGACGCCAGGCAGCTTATCATGAGTGCTCAGACAGGTTTCCCAGGGTCATGTCATGATGCGTTCATACTCTAGCAGTCAGGCTTCTACCACAAGTTTGAGAGTGGCTGAATGTCATCTGCCTGGCTTATTGGTAAAGTTTTGTATTTGTAGTTAAACATTAACTACAATGTTGCATGCATGTTCATAAAATGTGACAGATGGCTATTAAAATGTCTAAAATCTTAACCCCTTGCTGCTGCTGCTGCTGCTGCTGCTGCTGCTGCCATCTCACAAAACATTAAGAGCTTAAAAATACTTTGAGGAGGAGGCAGACACTGAGGTTAGATGTCCATTGTTCTTGGCTATCACATCAATCACATGATCATAAATCTTCAGATTGCAAGTATATATCTGACACTTTCTGGGCCCCACCAGGGACTTTCCATGGGGGTACCCAAGCAGGTGTGCTCCAGAGCCACGACTCTGCATGTCCATTCACACAGAGTTGTGGCTCAGCCTCAGACCCTCCCTCTCCTGATTGACTCACTGGCTGTGATTGACAGTAGCTGGAGCTAATGGGTCCCATTGCTGCCAATCTGGAGTGCGAGTCCTCAGAAACCTGCAGGTCTCATGGACATTGCTAGTTTGAGATGTGGCACAGGCAGGGGCGGACTGACCATTCAAGCACTCGGGCACTGCCCGAGGGCCTGGGGTCAGTAGGTGGCCCCGTGCGATGCCCCTGGTACCTTTCATTGGCTTTTTCATAGGCTTTTTTGGCTGTGGGTGAGGACACAGGGGCCCCATTATCCCCTATTGCCCGGGGGCCCCATGAGTTGTCAGTCTGCCCCTGGGCACAGGTAAGTGTTAGAATGCATGAAGGCAAAAAAACTTGAGCCTTTACAAGCATTTTAATGCCTTCAAATGTACTTTAAATATTATTACCCCATCATCACTGAGTTAGGTGATGCAGGAATGAGGCAATTTCTCTTTCTTCAAACTCTGGTGTAAGAGATGAAAATGGATTAATGTATGGGCTGCTTTAAGGCCACACCTAGACACACATAACCAGGTTTTGGCAATTGCTTGACCCTTGACTTCCATTTTGCTTGCAGCATCTCAGGTCCCATGTAGGCAAAGGAAGTAATTTTTTTTTCCAGGGGATGCCAGTTATCTGCAGTTGACATGGCTGATGGCTACAACCAGGGCCAGGCAGAACGCCGTTACAACAAGACCTTGAAGAGAAGTTGGGGTATTGTGGAGTCTACAATTGGCCTCCCAAAGTCCCATTGTCTCTGCTTGGCCAGGCCCGGGGGGGAGCTACTGTACTCTCCGCAGAAAGCTTCCAGGATCATTCATGCCTGTTGCATCCTCCACAACATCTGCCTGGCGAGGAATGACACCTGGGAGCTGACTGAGTAGAAGGAGCCAGAAGTCCGTGTCAGGCACCGCCCGGCAGAATCTCTAGTGATCCACAGAACGGGATTCCCCAGGACGCGGAGTTTAAGTCCCAGTCTGCCTTTTCACCAGAGCCCCCGATGGTGGGGATGGACTTGGTGCAAGACGGAAACCAGGTCGCGACCCCTGAGTGCACCAAACTGTGGTAGAGGGGTCCCGCCGAGGGTACGGGGGGTGAGCCTGCTGTGAAGAGGCTGACAAGTCCAGGTCCCGAGCGGGATGGATGGATGACAGTCAGGAATGAGCGTAGTCAGACTAGCCGGGTCGGTAACGGTGGAGGCAGGTAGGTACTAAACAGTAGACAGAGAGCAGCCGGGTCGCGAGCCAAGGTTCAGCAACGGGAGGTCCAATAGTAATATAACAACAGGCAGGAGAGTAGTCAGGGATGAGCTGGGGGTCAGAGCAGGAGAAGGTCAACACAAATCAGGACAAGCAGAATCGGCAACAGGAACACACTTCAGAACACGGGCACAGGAACTAGACCTTGCCGCAACCTAGTCACTGTCTGGCCAGTTTAAATAGTGCGCCCTGCACCGTCATTGGTGCAATTGCCGCCGCAGGCGCCCAGGTCCTAGTGCCTGCACATTAGTGCACATAGGCAATCTGCGTATGTGCAGACCTGCAGTCCCTGATAGTCCGTCAGCTTCTGGTCCCCAGGAGGCAGAGCACAGTGGATGGAGTGGCCACTAGAACTGAACTTATCGCCCGTTACTTTACATGTACATATTAAAACATAGGTATAGATTAAAGTGTACAAAATTACAATGAGGTCTTTTCCTCACAGGGACACAGATGCCAATAAAGATCTGACAGGTGTGTGATTGACCCTTCAGCCAGTGTGCAGTCAACATGACACCAAGTTGGGCTGGCCACCAGCACATTCAATGACTAACTGTTCTGGCTTTTGGAAAAAGAGTGGAGAGGGAGAACAGCTGGAAGGTTTTGGCTTGTCTCTCTGCCACTTGTCTACTTAGGAAGAACAAAAACCTCTGCTATGTACC